AAAAAAAAAAAAAAAAGATTTTATGCTTTAACTAAACATGAAACCCTCTCTTCTCTTTCTTTTCTTTACTCTGGCATAGGTCTGGAAAGATAACGCCTTCGTCCATATCTCCCAGGCCATTGCTAAGGGGATAATCTTTCTGACTGCTGGATTTGTCATCAAAAATTCTGATCTGTCCACGATGCTAGAGATGCCCTGGTCCTCCCTGTGACCAATTTTTCTTCTATTCCCAATGTTGCCATGAATTACAATCGACCCCCTTAGAAGTAACTTACAGAGTCCAACTTTTATGGCCAGAACATCCAGTGCCTTGTTTTTACCTTCTTCTGATTATAACTATACTTGCCCAATTGGATACAAATATCTACACAAATTGCAGTCCATTTGCTCCCCCACCTTCTTATGATTATCTAAATCAGATCTGCCCCCAATCACAAAAAGATCTCACGAGCAGCACCTATCTTTGCAAAGAATATGGAACAGCTTTTTATTTCAGGCTAAGAGATTTACTTCCTGAATGCACTGAAAACATTACTGACCCCTGGCTTGAACGGACAAATGCAACACTCCCTGTGAATGAATCCATTAACAGTGCCACCTTAGCGGGAGTGGTTTGTGCCCCGACAGGACTTATCTTTGTTGGTGGTGGTTATCATTCTCCTTGGCCTATGAATGTCTAGATGGCTGGCCTGTAACCAGGCAATGCCTCCTAGATTATCTAACTGTGCCCCTAACTGTTCACAAACAAACTGAGACACCTCACTAACCAATTCCCCTGAATTTACATCGTCAAGTTAGAAAGGACCTACCAGGAGGCTTTCATGATTCAGGACTTGCTTCCTTTGGCAGGTCCCTTATTTCCCTGGTTAGGAGTGAGTAAAAGAGGTTATGATTAGGAACCTCTTTTAACTCTCAAAAATATTGCAGAATTTTGCTGCAAAAGTGATAGTTGCCTAACAAAAATCCTTAGACTCTCTGGCCAAAGTTGTCCTTGATAAAAGGATAACCATTGATTTTCTTTTAGCTGAACAAGGAGGAGTCTTTGCTGTGGCCAACACCACCTGCTGCACCTGGATTAACACTTCTGGGGAAATTGAAACTCAGCTACATAAGATCACTGAACAAGCCACTTGGCTTAAGAAAGTGACTCCTTCAACAGGGTCTTTCTTTGACTTATTTGATTTTGATTGGTTTGGGTCTTGGGGGCCATGGTTCTTAAGTGCACTCCAGACGTTGGGAATTATCTTGCTTATAGTATTCACTGTAGTCTTCCTGGTGCACTGTATTCTCTCAAAAGCTTTAAACACGTATTTGCAGCCGCAAATCACCAAGCAAATACTTCCCTAAGACTGGATCATCCAAAAAGGAGCTAAGAGAATGCCTGACTCAAAACATGTGAACCTAAAGTTGACATCTGTGAATATCATAGAGATTCAGCAAAGAACTTCATAACCTGTGAATACCACACAGAGGATCAACAAAAACTGTGAGAATTTCAGAGCAGTAGCTGGGAGTAGTGCTAATGCCTTAAATTTTGATCATGTCTCTCAGTTAAGCTAAGAGTCTGATCAAAAGGGGAATTGTTAAAAAAAAAGAGAGAGACCACAAGCCCCAAATAGAGGCACTTGTGTTAAGCCCACTCATCAAACCAAGACTAATACCTGACCTAGTTGCAGGTTCAGCCTCTCCCAGGAACGTAATCTTAACCCATCAAGTCTGGAATTTCCTGATCAGCACTAGTGAGGTCATCTGCCTGACAGATGCCTGGCAGGGGACCCCTGCCGTCCCCTAAAGGAAGTGACCTTGCCTGGAACAATCCACTCTTTTCTAGTAACTTCCTTGTCCTGCCCCTGTCTGCCTATAAAATCTTTCATTTTGTACAGCTCTTCAGAGCTCCCTTCTATTTGCTAAATGGGATGCTCTTGGATTCATGAATCATTGAATAAAGCCAACAAGATCTTTACATTTTACTCAGTTGAATTTTGCTTTTTAACACTGAGAATAGGTTGAGAGTACTTGACACTGTATTTCCGAAATCCTCTTGTCTTCTTTTTAAGACCTGCCTAAGAATGCTATATTGATGGATGTATGAAAGATTTTAAACTTCTTCGTACGATTCATTACTTTAGTGAGAAAAAAAGACCACCATGGACACAAAGCAAGAAAAAAGAGTTTCTATTGGAGTGGTCATTGCACGTCAAAATTACCTTAAATATTTCAGAAAGAATTACAGTTTAAAAGATCAAACATCACATGAACATGGTGTTATCTTTGTTACCACTTACCAACCTGGTCTATAAATAGTAGTAGGGTCATTTATCTATACCTGGCCCAACAATATTCACCTTTGAAATTCCTGAGGGTCCAATTAAAATACTTCTCTATTACATCCCTCCTGGTGCCCCTTTGCCCTCCCACCCACCCTCCCCCCCAAACACACACGCAGGTATGATCCCCCTAAATACAGCAGCCCCCTCTGTATGCCATTTATGGCAATCTATCTCATAATATAATGTACTGTGTACAATCCTAAGTCACTTTGCTCTTTGAGGGCAAGGACGATGTCTTACTCTTTTGTTTTGCATCTTCCACTGTGCCTACCATTGTGGCTGGCAAATCAGAAAAGAAATTAAATATTTGCTGAATTTAACTAGATTTGAGTGTCTCCACAGAAGTCCCTTGTCCCCAGATTCTCTTCCCCTTAATGGTTTTTAGCAGCTATTATTTTCACCTCTAGAATTATTGCAAAAGGGAGAAAGATTTAGGTGAGATATGTTAGCATTTATGCTAACATAAATGACATTTGTCTTTGTTGTCTTCCTACCATATTTGATAAACATTTTTGCCAGATGCCCAGTTCTGCCAAGGAATCTCCCTCTTGGCACCTCACTGGACCTGCTCAGGCCCATCAGAGCCAATGATTTTTATGTTTATTTATGTGTTTCAAATTTATTTTATGCTAACTTTTTATTAATGATAAATACATGCTCATTAAAGAAAAAATTTAAAAATACAGACAAGCAAAATAAAAATTACCTGTAAACCCACTCTTCAGATAGGATGATGTGGTATATCCTTCATATCTATAAATAGTGAGTTTTGTTTGCTTGTTTTCTTGAATGAACTTGTCAGATACCCTCTGTATAGAAAGAGACAGAAATTCACGCTGAAGCAGATCTTCTTTGTCCTGTCAAGGTCACTTCAGTGGCCCTTTTAGTTTTTCAACAATAAGGTTTGGTAAAAACTCTTGGTCCTGAGTTCAGAGTTTAAGTAGATCTCTTCTTTGATTTAGCAAAGGGGACCCTCCCTCCCGAAATCCTCTCCACTGATAGTAATATGCAGAGTTTTGGGGAAAGTGGTGGACCAATTGAGGAGCTCGCTCTTTTTCTTGAGTTTAGAATGGGCTGGTAATTCACTGCTTCTTGAAGGTCAGTGATAGGCAGGCCAGTAGGAGTGGATCAAGGTGGCCCCAGAAAAGAGTCAAGAGTAGAGAAGAGCAGGGAAATTCCTTAAATAAAATAAACTTGAGGAGGATTAAGTCCAGATTGGAAACCCAAGCTCAGTACATGGGCATTGTGGGAAAATCCATATGCAACCCGGCATGTGGTTGCTATTTGAAGCAACTCCAGGCCTAGTCACCTTGGCAAGTTGTGCTTTGAGGAGTAATGGCTGAGTAGAAGAGTGCTCGTTAGGAGGAGTTGTTAGCATCCAACGTGGGATATTTCTGAGGCTTAGGCAGAAATTTGGACCAACGGGGTCATCCCAATAATTGTGGACAACCATTTTCTGCCAAACTGTAATTGGTGGGCCTTCAGTTATGACATGGTGAGGCTGCGAGAAGCAGTGGGGCAGGGGGTGGGGTGGGGAGAGGGACTGCTGAGTGTCCAATTCCCCCTCTGCCTGGCATGGAAGCAGCTGTGTGTGTGTGTGTGTGTGTGTGTGTGTGTGTATGGTTGGTACTTAATAAGTTGGGAAATTTGAAGACTTGGAGGTGGAAAGAGTCCTTAAGAAGATTTTATTAGTCTGCCTGAAAGTGAAGCATATAGGTGGTAAAACAATCAACCATATAAATGTGACAAGATTATATTTGTGTCCCAAAGTGGAGAAGCAAGTTATACCATGTATGATTGTGCCTGTGTTTTTATGTGTGTACAATTTTTATTGAGGACAGCATGTTAATTGGTGCTCATTGCTTTAGTTCAGGGAACTTCCGGCATGGATGTCAGAGCAAAGCAAAGATTTTTTTTCAAGTGAAATGGCCTTTCTGACCTACCTCTTAAGTATCCAACTATTTCACTGATATGTCAGGGCAGTTTGGTTCCATCTCATAATTGGTTGGATAGAATCAGGAGAAAGGCCTACAAAAAGATATTGGAAGGAGCAAGGAGAATTACTGAGAACAAGGAACTCCTAGAGTCAGGTAAGTTCTGATAGTTCCCAAAGCCACAAAGCCACAAAGTCTATCCAGCCCAACCCCATCCCCTGCCATATGCCATTGGCCTGGGAACAATTAATTGCAGCCTCCTCTCAGTCACAAGTTTTTGTTTTAAGTTTTTCATTTTTGCGAAAATTTGAAAACTTCCAAAGATAAACATAAGTAAAAAGAACAGTATAATTAACTCCCAAGTACCCATTACTCGGGTTCAGGAATTATCAATGATGTTTCATCTATACCACCATCTACTCTAAAAATTATTTTGAAGCAAATCCCAGACATTACAACATTTTGATAGATAGATAGATAGATAGATCTTAAAAACAAGATATGTTAGTCTGCTCAGGCTGGCATACACAATACCACAGTGGCTTAAACAACAGAAATCTATTTTCTCACAGTTCTGGAGGCTGGAAGTCCAAGATCAAAGTGCTGGCAGATTGATTTCTGGTGAGATCTTTCCTCCTGACTTGCAGATGGCTACCTTCTAGCTCTGTCCTCACATGGCCTTTCTTCTGTGCTCCTGCACTCCTGGTGTCTCTTCCCCTTCTTATAAGGACATCAGTCCTATTGGATTAGGACTCTATCCTTATGACTTCATTAAATCTTAATTACCTCCTTAAAGGCCCTATCTCCAAGCACAGTCTCATGGAAGTTAGGGCTTCAACATATGGATTTGGGGAGATACAATTCAGTTCAAAACACAAAGATTTTTTAAAACAAACACAATACCATTATCACACCTAAAAAGAGTAACAATATCAAATATTTAGCCCAAGTTCAACTTTTTTCCCAATTGTCTTACAAATATTTTTTAATAATAGCCTCCAAGTTTTATCTTATTGATAGTCTAGGGGAATATCTTGTTTTTATCTTTAAAAATCCATCAATAAGTGTGCATTTATTGAACATTCACCATGTACTCAGCATTGTTCTAAGCACAATGAGCAGCTAAGTGCCCATGTCGGGAAACACTAAGCAAGAGGTCAAGAAGGTGGGATGGGGCCAGATTACGGAGGATATTAAAAATCATAGCAAAGGAGTGTAACTTGATTTGGTTGGAAATGGAGACTCTTTGAAGATTTTTGAGCTTTGAGGTGGCAAGATGAACTTCAGCTTCTCCAGTGACTGACCACGTGACAGTGGCAATTTCCTTCACTTCTTATACTGCTTGAGTCCTAGGATGGTTGAGAGATCAAGTAAAATAATGAACATTCTATACAAACTTTAGCTGTGATGAGGAAATTATAAGGATTTTACTTCGTTTATAGAAACTTGCCTTTATAGTCAACTAATTATAACACAGATATTCTGCGAAGTAAGGGATGTATATGACTATATTTCAATAGTTAA